AATAGGTTCGCGAACCTAACTCGGGAAGCAGGCCGAGTTCAGAGCTTTTGATTCAACAGACGAACGCGCCTGATAATCTCGATCGATTTCTGTGATTATCAGCTCTGTGACTGCCCTACAGATCGAGTTCAGTACGAAAAACCGAGAGCGTCTGCTACAATGACTCGAATAATACGAATAGGTTTGCGACCCTAGCTTGGCTAGCAGACCGACTTCAGACCTCTGGATTCAACAGGCGAACGCGCCTCATCATTCTAGACGCATTACCTGTGCTCACCAGTTCTGTAGTTGTGCTGAAGCTCGAGTTATCTTGAGAAAACCGACAGCGCGTACCAAGATGACTCGAAACGGCCGTTCCCGCCTGCCTGCTTTTTGGCCTTCAAAGTTACCCGATCGAGCTGAGATCAAGATGGCGAGCGGGAATAAGATCGAATATCATGGGAAAAAATACTAGAGCTCTAACGAATGTCAAATTTCGAGAACAAATTTTCAACCGACCAAAAGTCACCAAAAGGTCCGTCGAGATTTTTCTTGCCAACTAGCTCCTGGGGCGCGCCGGAATTCTCTTAGCTTCCAGCTATAACTAGCTAAGGGAAGCTCTACGAGTTACTCTTAGCTTCCAGCTATAACTAGCTAAGGGAAGCTCTACGAGTTACTCTTAGCTTCCAGCTATAACTAGCAAAGGGAAGCTCTACGAGTTACTGGGCGCCGGCGGTAAACCGTCAACCTTTCTTACCGCCGGGGGACTCGTAGAGCTTCCTGACAGTATATAGTGTGGGAAAAAATCCAGAGAACGACTAGTTTTCAGCCCAAGCAATTTCAGACCTCTCAAGATGACTCTAACAAACGAACAAACAGTTTCGCAACCCAGTGAGTATCAGACCGAGTTCAGACCTCTCAATGCGACAGGCGGACGCGTCTGATGTCTGCGAATCGACTCATGTGATTACCAGCCCTGCAGCCCCCCTGCAGCCCGAGTTAAGTGCAGAAAACCGAGAGCATCTCTCAGGGTGACTCGAATAATAGAATAGTTTCGCGGACCTGTTTCGAGCAGCAGACCAAGTTCTGAGCTCTCGAATCGACCAACGAACGCGTCTGATGTGTGCAAATCGATTTCAATGACCCACAGCACTGTAGCCCTCCCCCAGCACGAGTTGAGTGCAGGAAAATGAGAGCACTGTTTACGATGATTCGGACAATACGAATAGTTTCGCGAACCCAGCTCGGGCAGCAGGCCGAGTTCAGAGCTCTCGATACAACAGACACACGCGCCTGATAATTATCAATCGATTTCTGTAACTACAGGCTCTGTAGCTGCCCTACAGCTCGAGTTGAGTACAGAAAACCGAGAGCGTTTGTGAAGATGACTCGAATAATACGAATAGATTTGCGGACCTAGCTCGGCTAGCAGAACGATTTCAGACCTCTGGATTCAACAGGCGAACGCGCCTGATGATTCTGAGTGCGATGCGTGTGTTTACCAGCACTGTAGCTGCCCTACAGCTCGAGTTAAGTAGAAAATACCGACAACGCGTATCAAGTTGACTCGAATAATACGAATAGGTTTGCGGACCTAGCTCGGCTAGCAGATCGAGTTCAGACCTATGGATTGAACAGGCGAACGCGCCTGATGATTCTGAGTGCGATAGGTGTGCTTACCAGCACTGTAGCTGCCCTACAGCTCGAGTTAAGTAGAAAATACCGACAACGCGTATCAAATTGACTCGAATAATACGAATAGGTTTCCGGACCTAGCTCGGCTCACAGACCGAGTTCAGACCTCTGGGTTCAACAGGCGAACGCGCCTGATGATTCTGAGTGCAATAGGTGTGCTTACCAGCTCTGTAGCTGCCCTAGAGCTCGAGTTATGTTCAGAAAACCGTCAGCGCGTATCAAGATGACTCGAAACGGCCGTTCCCGCCACTGTGCTTTTTGGCCTTCAAAGTTACCCGATCGAGCTGAGATCAAGATGGCGAGCGGGAATAAGATCGAATATCACGGGAAAAAATACTAGAGCTCTAACGAATGGTCAAATTTCGAGAACAAAATTTTCAACCGAGCAAAAGTCATCAAAAGTTCCGTCGAGATTTTTCGAGCCAACTAGCTCTGGGGCGCGCCGGAATTACTGGGCGCCGGCGGTAAACCGTCAACCTTTCTTACCGCCGGGGGACTCGTAGAGCTTCCTGACAATATATAATGTGGAAACGAATTTCAGAGAACGACCAGTTTTCGCTTATGAACCTCCCAAGATGACTCTAACAAAAACAGTTTCGCAGATTTCGTTCGAGCAGCAGACCGAGTTTCGAGCGATCGGTTCGACGAACGGACGCGCCTGATGTCTCGAAATCGATTCCTGTGACCAGCAGAGCTATAGCCCTCCCCCAGCACGATTTATGTACAGAAAACCGAGAGCACTTCTCAAGATGACTCGAACAATACGAATGGGTTCGCGAACCTAGCTCGGAGAGAAGGCCGATTTCAGAGCTCTTGATGCAACAGACGAACGCGCCTGATAAGTCTCAATCGATTTCTGTTAGTATGAGCTCTGTGGCTGCCCTATAGATCGAGTTAAGTACGAAAAACCGAGAGCGTCTGCTACAATGACTCAAATAATACGAATAGGTTTGCGACCCTAGCTCGGCTAGCAGACCGAGTTCAGACCTCTGGATTCAACAGGCGAACGCGCCTGATCATTCTGAACGCATTAGCTGTGCTGACCAGCTCTCTAGGTGTCCTGAAGCTCGAGTTATCTTGAGAAAACCGACAGCGCGTATCAAGATGACTCGAAACGGCCGTTCCCGCCTGCCTGCTTTTTGGCCTTCAAAGTTACCCGATCGAGCTGAGATCAAGATGGCGAGCGGGAATAAGATCGAATATCATGGGAAAAAATACTAGAGCTCTAACGAATGGTCAAATTTCGAGAACAAAATTTTCAACCGACCAAAAGTCACCAAAAGGTCCGTCGAGATTTTTCTTGCCAACTAGCTCACCACGCGCCGGAATTACTCTTAGCTTCCAGCTATAACTAGCTAAGGGACTGGGCGCCGGCGGTAAACCGTCAACCTTTCTTACCGCCGGGGGACTCGTAGAGCTTCCTGACAACATATACTGTCGGCAAAAATTGCAGAGAACGAATAGTTTTTCAGCCCAACTCGAGTATCAGACCGGGTTGAGACTTCTAAATGCGACAGACGGACGCGTCTGATGTCTCCGAATCGATCCCTCTAATATCCGGCCTGCAGCCTCCCTACAGCCCGAGTTAAGTGCAGAACGCCGACAGTAGCTCTCAAGATGACTGGAAGAATACAAACAGTTTCGTGATTCTGGATCGCGCAACAGACCGAGTTCAGAGCTCTGGATTCAACAGACGAACGCGCCTGATGATTCTGAGCGCCCGAACGTGCTGGGAAGCTACAGTGCTTACCAGCACTGTAGCTGCCCTACAGCGCGAGTTGAGTACCGACAATGCGTATCAAGTTGACTCGAATAATACGAATAGGTTTGCGGACCTAGCTCGGCTAGCAGACAGAGTTTAGACCTATGGATTCAACAGGCGAACGCTTCTGATGATTCTGAGCGCGGTAGCAGTGCTCACGTGCACTGTAGCTGCCCTACAGTTCGAGTTAAGTAGAAAATACCGACAACGCGTATCGAGTTGACTCGAATAATAAAAACAGGTTTGCGGACCTAGCTCGGCTGACAGACCGAGTTCAGACCTCTGGGTTCAACAGCCGAACGCGCCTGATCATTCTGCATGCGTTACCTGTACTTACCAGCTCTGTAGCTGCCCTAGAGCTCGAGTTATCTTCAGAAAACCGTGAGCGCATATCAAGATCACTCGAAACGGCCGATCCCGCCAGAGTGCTTTTTGGCCTTCAAAGTTACCCGATCGAGCTGAGATCAAGATGGCGAGCGGGAATAAGATCGAATATCGGGAAAAAATACTAGAGCCCAAACGAATTGTTGAATTTCGAGAACGAAATTTTCAACCGAGCAAAAGTCAGCAAAAGTTCCGTCGAGATTTTTCTTGCCAACTGGCGCCGGCGGTGAACCGTCAACCTGGTCACCGCCGGGAACCTCGTAGAGCTCCTTGAATCCGTGAGAAAGCTCAGCATCAAAGCGGGAGCTTCTGGGAGCTTTTCTACAAAAACTTCAAGTTGAGATTTTTTTCGGAGTCAACATGAAGTCGGTTCCTTCAAGTGAACTGGTACTGAAAATGACTCTAGATGGCCGAGCTGATCAGGGAACGAAGTTTATATCTCAATGCTCGGAGTAAAAATCTGCTTTTTCAAAATGAATTGTCAAATATCTTTCAAAAAATTGCAAAACCACCCAAAAGTTGTCACATTGTCCGCCTCGGCCGGCTGGACCAAAGTTCTCACTCCCAGCGAAGCTATTCATATGAAGTCTCGCGCTCTCAGTGAGAGCGCGAGACCATTCTGCGTCGACAAAAATGCACCAGAACTCTCTAGGTCACCCATAGATCGATATAAATTAGAAAAAAATCATCCGACACAAAAAATATAAAATTGTACAAATCGATATTTTTCATTAATTTTGAAAATTCTAATCAATTTGGGCACTCTCGAGGCTCATTCGATGTCTCGCATGTCGCTGCTTCGATTGGAATGCACCTGGCATGCATAGCATGCACTCAGCTCGAATTATCATCGAAACACCGTTCGCAACACGCATACATAGAGACGGTATTTCGATCATAACTCCTGACTCAGCCATTTCTAGGAACTCTCGAGCTTCCAGTGTGACGCGTCAGATCATTCTGCATCGACTGGTGTGCGTGAGAGGTCTGTAGATTGCTGACAGCTCGAGTTAAGTAAAGCCAACCACCGTCACCTGCCAAACTGTACTGCGGGCAAAGTCGGTTCCAGCAAGTCTTTTGATAGTAATATTGCTTCTAGAGCCCTGAAAATTTTACCAGCAGATGCGCCATAGCTTATTGTAGGTAGGAAAAATCCAACTTATGAAAACGAATTGTTCAAACTGGGCGCCGGCGGTAAACCGTCAACCTGGTTTTTGAGTTTGAGTCAGGGCGCGGACAGCTGTGACAGCTGAGCCCTAAGACTCCCAAACGGAGCACAGGGTAGCTGGAGAGGGCAACTCTTATCATCACACTGCCGAGCCACTGAGGCATAGGCAACGGAATAGGATGCAGGAACAAGGAAAAGGATGCAATACAACATGTGAAAATGTAAAGGTGTTGGAGAGCTCCAAGCAAGATGAAATGAGTCAGCTGCTTGGATGAAAGATGCTACCCAAAATGTGCTCCACGGCCATACAGAGCCGTTGTGCTGCAATCATCTCACAAAACATGACAGAAGCAGAGGCATCAAGCGAGACAGCTTCCTCCGCCACCAACTGCCACGTCCCGTGTACACACAAATCTATACACCATCCTGCAGCACATCCCTCCACAGAGCGACCTCCGTCGAAGAATCCACGGAGGCCGTCTAGTTTTGTTTTACTCGCATGTTCAATAAGTGAGGTATGGAACGTAACGTAACTATTTTTGGTTCTGGCCAACCATGTCAGCCTGTCAGCTCTTTCGTTTCCTTCTCGATAGATCCACCTGAACATATTGTGGCCCCAACTCGGAGGCCTCATACCATACAACACAGAGATATGCTCCAGCCTATTTTGAATGTCGCCAAGAATGTGCTTGTAGATAATATTGGATGTTGCCCAGAGACCGTTAATCCAATTCACCCCTGTGGCGGAGTCCCCAATCAATTCCATCGGTATCGAGTCCCGAGGCTCCGCATTCCACTCCGATGCATGTTCATTAATGTACGCAAGTCGTTTCTCCATCTTCTCGTCCTCCTTCCTTTGCTGCTCCTCCGTCTTCTCCCTCTCCTCCTCCTCCCTAGCATATCCCGCAGGTTGTGCATGTTTAAAGTAACAGTACCCCCACGCCTCCTCCATGTTAGTAACATCCAGTGCCCGCTTCAGAAATTCTTTCCATCCCTGACGTGAAAAGGATAACGTGTGATACCAATCCTTCCCTGATACCAACTCGAAAATGTAATGGAAGTTTCTCAACGCCAGTGGTCTCCCCCCCTCATGCCGACGCGTCATTAATGGGCGTTCTTTCCAAGGCAGCGATGCAATGAAGGCCTGCCGTCGGTCAGTCCACTCCCCCGACCATGCAAAAATACATTCTCTAGCCTGCATATGCGAGTCCCCTGTACTACGATGCTGAGGTGGAGCCACCCGTCGCCGCTTGTTTGCAGCGATTTCCTGCGACGGCAACTCAACAGAGGAACGCTTTTGCGACAGAGAATCCTGAGATGGATGGAATGTCTTTGCACGCTTATGCATCTGGGAAATCAGATTGCGCCGATGCGCGGGTAATTGTGTCTGAGAACCAGGGAGCTCAAAGGAATCAACAGCATGCATCGTCTCACACACGTCAGGATGACATCCCATTGATGTCGAGCACGCAATACTTGGTAGCACATACATGGGTTCATCCTGACGTTGTCTCTTGGCCGGCGGTGGCTCACACGCAGCAAAGACGTTGGGGCCAGGCTTGCCTGAAGAATCAAAAGTACCTGGAGGAGTCTGTGCGGGTGTTGGGTTCAGGCGTTTCACAGTAAACGTACAGTCCTGAGCCCACTGCCACTGACGAAACAAGAATAGCTGCACAAGAGACGGCCGTCCCAATTCCAGGAGCATACGCCGCCCACGTTTGTACAAGTTGCATAAGTATATACTCCAATCCATGTCGGCAGGTTTCGGGCGGCGTACCATAGAACACAATATTTTACCTTCCCACGTGTGCAACTGTTTCAAAGTGTGGTGGTCCGCTGGCATGCCTTCAACACCGAAAAGTACAAAACTACGCAACCTAGATTCATAATGCTTGATTTTCTTCTGGAAGGGTACAGCACGATTCGTATAAAACTTGCGGAACTGGTTAAATCGCTTCCAACCCCGAGCCAATTTCCAAGCCACATCATGGTGTTTGTCAGTCTTGGTCGTGACCAGGCAACCCAGGCACTCCATTTCAGAGCATCGCGGAAGACACAGGGTACCGAGATCGTTCACCTGGACAACGAGGTTCCCCGTCGAGGCGCCTTCAGAGTCCTCCCCAAAGGCAAGATAGTGTAGTGAGGAATCTTTCCATCTGAAACCGTGCGTATACAGCTGAGCCGAGAAGTCCCCCACCATACGTGTGAGCTCAGTCTTTGATTTCGAGAAAAGCAAAATGTTATCGGCCCAGAGCGCATGAGTAAGATACCTCCCACCAGCCTCCACCCCCAAATCGTACCCCAACTTCTCCTCCTCCCAATTCAGTACAATCCTATCCCACATCAGTAGTGTCACACACTTCCACAGGAAGGGGGCCTCCACACTACCAGTACGTACACATGCATCCCAGGGAATACCCGTCGCCGTGGAGTCCTGAAAGGTAAAGTCCGCTGTGTCCAGGATACTGGGAGCGAGTAGCGCCAACGCAAGGTCATTGGGGAACCCAGGGATGGCATCCAAGGCCCGACTGGCCTTCTCAACCGTGACGTTATCAAAGGCAGTCTGCACATCTAATGACGCGAGGTGCAGGGTCTCATCTTTCCCCCACTCCAGAGCGTGTGTGGTGGCATGCTTAAGCATGGCAGTGATCTCGTGCGTGCGCCTTCCCTTGCAAAATCCGTAGTTATGTAGATATTGTGGGACCCTTTTCAGATAACCTTCAGCAATCTCAACCAAACATGAAGTATACCATTTGCTTAGGCTGCTAAGTAAGACGAGAGCACGAGTATCAGACAACTTAGTGATATCTTTAGCTTTCGGCATCAACACCACAAGCAACTCAGACCAAATCCGAGGAGTAGGATACCGTTGAAGATACAGGTCTTGGAATAACCGAAGAATATGACGCAAACCTACCCACGTGATACGTTTCAACATAGAAGGAGAAACTCCGTCCTTACCCACCGCCTTACCACACTTTAAGCGTGATCGTGCCTGTAACAATACGGACATGGAAATGGGGGAGACGTCCACTGTGTTCGTGTCCTGCAACCTCCTCCTCCTCCTCTCCTCGATACACTCCACGTTACGTATCCCTTGCGCAGCACAGTGGTACTTGGCGAACCCGTGAGCATAGAGCGCCTTCTCCCACAACTCCCTATCCTCCGTGAGCACATCGTCATAACTCAATTTGTCCACCACCGTCCGAGCGAGCTTCCCGTCACGATGATCGTATTCGAGTCGACGACGAGTGTGTGCACGCATCTCCTTCCTTCTCTCTTTCTTAACCCTGATGAGCTCCTCCTCCTCCCCTCCTTCACGACGCAGTCGGCGATATTCATCATCAAGTTCCTTATGACGATCTGTCTTTTTGGGGATCTGCATTTTCTTTGGGACATTGGTGTATGACTCCTTGTCCTGTGTACATGCATTCAAGATAACAGGAGCCAATTCATCCGGGCAGAGACCAGATGGGTAACGAGCTGCAGCATGCAAACGACGATCAAGGTTAGCCGAAACTTGCAATTCCGAGGCTTCGTCGCAGCACCAATGAGTGAACGTTTGTCGTGGCTTCGTTCTCCAACGTCGAGTCGGAGCGGCCGATTCGGGGACAAGCAAGGTGAGCAGGGCATGGTCCGACAGGCGGGTCTTTCTGGGGTCCACGGAGCCCCTGAGTGTTGGCCTTAACCACGACACCTCCCACTGAGGCCTTTCCCAGGAGCTCGGAATACACAGGTAATCAAGAACCTTGTCCTCCTCCTCCGTCTCCTCCCTGGCCTTCCAGGTCGTACGACGGGTCCCAAAAGAATTCGAGAAAACCAAATCATAATGCCACATACATTCACAGAGCTCGTCACACATGTATTGTTGCATCCTCCTCCTACCCTGCTGGAAACCTCCACGTCCACCTCCTCCTGCATTGTCCCCTTCTTCAAATCTCTCACCCTGCACTGCAGAACCAGTCAAAGCAACATCTCCAAATACCGTGTGAGGCAGAAGCTCAACGTTAGCATCCATCCCGATGAACAAGTCCCACCCTTCCTTGGGAAACCTAACTCGGAGCGTATCCAAATCCTTTCGAAACGACTGCAATGTTTGTGTGAATAAGATATTGTGATCCCCTTTTTTCGGCGCATGTGGTAAGTACAAGCTGGCAACAATCAACGATTGAAACACGAGAATGACATAACGATTACCCCTGATGCATTCACGTATGGAGGCTCTCCACACCCTCTTGTAGAGAACCCCGGCCTCCCCATCATTAGAAAGAGTTAAGGTGAAACCATGCTCAGAGCACCTACCTATTCCAAGGAACTGGCACTCCTGCAAAGCGAGAACTTCCGAATTCGAGGTCTTGATCTGAGCAAGCATGTCGTGGCTGTTCATGCTGCCACAGCGCCTCACGTTATACGTGCCCACGATGGCGCCATGGCACCTTCACCAGGTACGAAAGTTGAGCTTGGCCAGAAAGACCTCGCAATCCAACTTGTCATCGACCTTACGCAGCAGCTCGGCGTCAACCTTCCACCCCAAGTTAGGATCAAACACGGCAATGCATACTCCATCCGTCTTCGGCGTCGTGGCCGAAGGGTAGCCCCACACATAGCTGACAGGAGGACCCATCTCACCCTTCAGCCACTGGGATCCACTCCTGAGAGTAGCAAAGATAGCTTGACAACGACCCACGGCAGAAACATGTGGCTGCTTCCAGGGTGCTGGTTCACAGGATACGCCGAGACGCTTGTTGGCCAGGATGGGAGTGACTTGCTTCAAGTCGTGCGTGTCATTCTCAAGCTCGACGGCCCAAGAGTTGCGTATCTCCCAAATTTCATCGTTCGTCAACTTGCCACTTATAACATAGAATCGTATACGATAAAGACCATATGGTTTATTTTTGTGCTCCCGCTCGATCCTACTCATGTCGAAATGCTCCTCAGTCATCTTTCCTGTGCCACGGACAAATTTACGAATGACAGGCAGGGCATGATCCCAGGAGAGCATATCCGATGAACGAGTCTTGAGATTGCCGACTCCACCTCGCGCCCAACCTGTGAGTTGGATGAAGGTCGGTGTAAAATCCTCCCGCACTCGATTCCATTCGCGAATTGGCGTACGATTACCATACCTGGGAGCAGTGGCCGTAGCAGAGGAGCCCGCAGGGCCCGCATAGTTACTCCAAGCATCCGTGGACCCTGATCCTGCATCACTGGGTGGACCCTTCTGCTGAAGCGAGCGGATCTGCTGCTGCATAGCAGCAATGTCAGCCTCATTCTTCTCACCACGCTGGTCGATCCGTTTCACATCCTGCTCAATCCGTGAAATTCTTTTCTTCTGAGTGTTCTGTTTAGCAAGCATAGCCTTCATCATAGCAAACTGTTGCTTCATAGGATTGCCGTCATCAAATTCGCCGAACTGCTCCTCCTCCTCACTGCTTGCCTGAATCATATCCTCATCCTCACCCACAGCCTTACTCTTCTTACAACAGGGCGCACCTGCTGGGTGTTGCTGAGACATCGCTGCGAAGGTGACGGTGTTCGAATACTTGAGCTCCTCTGGAAACCCCCACTGTTCCAAGAAATTGATGTCCTCACGCGAACGCTTAGAATCTGTCGTCGTGTCGAACAGATGTCCTCACAAGAGTGTTGAACAGATGTCAAACTCGACCTCCAAAGAGTGTGTACGGTACTCAGGCAAAAGACACTCTGCAGCACGCGTGCGGGAATCTGAGTCAAGCAAAGAATGAGTGTGTACGGTACTCGTAGGCTACCACAAAGAATGTGCACAGGCCTTCGACACTCAATGAAAGCGCACGGTACTCCGACAATCTGAACAGTCAATGCGCACTCCGACAATCAATGAACGTGTACGGTACTCAGGCAAAACAGACACTGAAGCACCGTGTACAGTATGAGGAACCAAAGACTCCTTTCTGCACAATGCAGCTCGAGACGAGGGGGGCCCCAGCGGTGAGGCCAGGCTGAGCAGGAGGTAAGCTCTGCCCAACCTTCGTTACCGCCGGGGACCT